AACAGACCCACTCCCTCAAGTCACCCACCGGGCCCACGGGTCCTTCAGGCCCCGTCTCCGCAACCTCTCCTGCACCAGCTCAAGCGGAGTCCCCTCGATCTTCCAGCTCCGGGTGTCCGGCAGCTCCGGGCCCGACCCCATGGCGCGCGCCCTCCAGGTGACCCGGAAACACGACACACCAAGGTGACCCGGAAATACTGCCCCACCACCGCCATCGCGAGGGGAGGGGTGGAGCGAGAGGGCAGCCCGCCTTCGCGCTTGCGCAGTCGATTGAATTGGGGAGGTGACAAGAGGGAGGGAGCGGGAGAGCGTGTCCGGGAAGTTTGATGGGGTCTAGAGAAGTCAATGGAAATTGTGGTGGCTGCATTGAGCTAGGGCCAAGGGGGAGGGGGAAGAGACAGGAATGGTGAACGGGAATAGGTGAGAGGAATAGGATCGAGGAGGTGAATAAAGAATGGGGATCCTCAGGGAATTGAAACGGTAGCAGGGATTGGGGAAGGGAATGAACTGGACTAACCACGTACATGTTGTGGCTGCAAAATGCAGGTCATGGGTAGGAATGCTGCGGAAGATAACTCACCTGAGTCCCCAAAGTCTGTGCACCATCATCGAGGAACAAGTCAGGACTGTGATGGAATATTTCCACCGTGCAGTTCCAGCAACACTCAAGAAACTTGAGACCATCCAGGACAAAGCAGCCTGCTTGATTAGCACCACATCCACAGATATCCAGTCCCTCCATTGATGCACAGTAGCAGCAGTGTGAACGATTGACAAGATGCACTTCAGCAACTGGCCAAGGCTCCTTAGTCAGCAATTCAACACTTTCTTTTGTGAGTTCACTGCCATCTTTTACTTCATTAACTTTATCTTCTACATAAAGCCTCCTCGACACAATATTCATTATTTGACTCTTCCATCATACATGGCCTTTCTACACCCATAGTGTAAATCACAAATACAGGTATCATTGATCAACTTTTTGTGTCACTTAATACCCATATTCTACCTCACCACCCCAACTCTAACTCTTTCTGTATCCATCCCTGAATCAACCAATTTCCCAATTCACTTAGAGTTTTCCTGTCAAATTCCCAACTCTCTACTCTTTGGCCCTCCCTTTATCACATTTCTGTTGCAATTGATTTGCTCAACTGTGCCCTCACATACACACGTGATGCCCTAGTTCCCTTTAAAAAAAACATAACATGCTTACCATTTGCTGTTTTCTCAGTATGGCTCTCAACTCCACTCCCTTAAGTCAAAGGACCAAAAACTCGATAGGATATGATGGACAACTGGGTTAGCCATATGTTGCCTGATCTGGGTAGATCACTTAAAACTCCATCATAGTCTACTTTTGTCACACCCACCTCTCCTGCTGCTAATCCTTTAGACTTCACCAGTGGATCAGCACTCCTTTTCCTCTATGCATCTCTCTGCAGCATTATCTGTTTGATTGTGAACAAAGCCCTTTCCATCCATGAACTTATTACAGCCCTAATACTACTCATTACTCCATGATATCCTTGAATCCTGTCTTTTTTTTTCCAACTACAAACCATCTTTTTAAAACCCCAGTTCCCATTCATTCTACCCTCACCTCTGTCACTTCCATCCTTACCCCAGCCCTTGAAGACATATTTCTACCAAGGCTCTCCAATATCTTAGGCCAAAACTTGATTCCTTCTCAAATTTTTACACCCTCTGTCCTCATGCCCTCTCTGAGTTGATCTTGTCCATGAGACCAACATACTATTCCCTTGATCATATCTTCATCAAGCCATTGAGCGAGCAAAGTACACTACTGGCCCACATGTTAGTCAATACTGTTAATGCTCATATCTTTTCACATGTTGTCCCTCTCCTATTTGAATTTTCTTTCATCACCTATCCCCTCAAAAAAGAGCTAAGTGTAACCAGACTATCATCAGCAATGGTTTCTCTTCCTGATCCTGCACCACTACGCAAGATATCCCCTTAGAATCAATCCTTGGCCCCCTCCTGTTTCTCATTTACGTGTTGCCCTTGACAATATTGTTCAAAAATGCACCATCAAATTCTATATAAAAGGTAATGATATCCAGCAGTACCTCAACTATCATGTCCCTGGATTCCTCTGTTGTGACTATGTTATCAATCTGCCTGTCCAGCATCCAGTACTGGATGAAATTCCCTCTAGTTCAATATTATAATTACTAAAGCACTCTTCTCCCTCATCTCTGATTTCACTCCTCCACCTGGCAACTCTCTGAGGCTGAAACAAACTATTTGGCCCCAAGATGAATTTTCAATCACATTTCCACAGCGTTGCTAAAACCACCATTTTTCCCACTTTCATACCCCTGCCCATCTTTGTCCATCCCTCATATCATCTGTTACTGAAAGCCTAACCACGTTTTTGTTAACTTCAGATTTGACTATTCCTGACTGGTCCCCACGTTCTACCCTCCAGAAGCTTAGGTCCATCTATAACAATCAGCCTATATCTTCACTGACATCAAGTCCCTTTCCCCTATAATCCCAGAATATGCTATCTATAGTGTCTCCCAGTTAAACAATGTCTTGCTGTTAAAATCTGGATTTCAATTTACTCCACAGCCTCACCCTTCCCTATCTCTGTAATAACTTCCAAATTTAAAACCCAGTGAGAGCTCTGGGCTCCTCTAATTCTGGCCTGTTGTGCATTCACAATTTAATCACTGTACCATAGATCACTATACCTTCAGCTGCCTGGACCCTAACCTTTTCCACCTCACTTTCAGTCTTTGTCACATTCCTTAAAACAAATTCCTTGAACAAACCAGTGGTCATCTGACCTAATATCATCTTGTAGGATGTTATAATATGTTTTATAATACTTTTATGAAGCACCGTGGGATATTGTATTATGCGACTGTTACTTTATAAATAAAAGTTTTTGATCCCTTGAGTGCAAGATCCCACAGAGTTTGAAACAATTCTACAGTGACATTCTGGTGCTGTCTATTTCTACAGTCCTCTGTCTTGTGCTGTGCACCCCAACTATTCTTTCTCTACTGATGCAGAGATTTATAGCTTCCTCTCCAGTGGTGTGAAGTGCAAAAATGCTTTCATCACCAAGTCACTTTTTTTTAGAACAATTTTTTGACTTAGCTAAAATCTGTGGCAAGTTTTATGAGTAATTTTGTCATTTTGTAGAACTTTGTGTAAACATGGCTTGGGCAGTAACCTCCTCACCTCTGAGTCAGAGGTAATAAGTTCAAGATTTTCTCCAGTGACTTGAGTGTATATTTCAGAGTAACTCTCCCAGTGCACTACTGATGGAGGCCTGCACCATCAAAGGTGAGGATGAGACATGTAACCTAGGTCCCATCTTGCTCTTCATGGAAGATGCAACTGATAAAAACTTTCATTTGTATGACATCTTTCGCAACTTTAGAATATCACGAAGTACTTTACAACCAATAAAGTTATTTTGAAGAGTACTTCTTGCTAGTATGTAGGAAACAATGCAACCGATTCATGTGCAGCAAACTCCCAAAAACCAAATGTGAGAACAATCAAATAGTCTTCTCTTTGAGAAGTTGATTGAGAGATAAATATTGACCAGGACATCAAGTATCCCCTTGATTTTCTTTGAAATGTTGTCTTTCACATTCACCTGAGAGTTCAGAAAGGGACTTAATTTGACATCTCATTCCATACTGTTATTCAAGACAGGCCAAGAGTGTGCTTCCCAGTGAGTGTCCATTACTTGTCCAGTCAATATCATTAAATAAGGCAGAATATCTAGTCCTTATCATACTACTGTTTGTGGGATCTTGCAGCAGTTCAGGAGTGTGTCATGGGCTGCAACTTGTCTGCCAGTTTCCATTATGAACATTGATTGGAGAAGTCAGGACTGCTTTTCTACAGTGAAGGCTGAGCGAAAATTTTATAGACGTATCAAAATTATGAAGGAACAGGATAGAGACGATAGGGATTCTTTTCCCCATCTATGAAAGCATCAAAAAATAGAAGACATGGATTTAAAATTTTAAAAATGTGCATTGTGGAAAATTGAAACAAAAACAGAAATTGCTGAAGATGCTGAGCATCTGCAGAGAGAGAAAGCAGAATTAAATATTTTGGGTCCAGTCTGAAGCAAGGTCAAGGAACTGGAAACATTAACTCTGCCTTTGCTCTCCACAGATGCTGCCAAGTCTGCTGAATTTCTCCACGGATTTAAACTATTTGGCAGAAACAATATGAGGCAATACCCTTTCACACATTGAGTGATTAAGGTCTGAGAGTGTGGTGGATGCAAGTTCAATGGAAGCATTCAAAAGGGATTTGGATTGTTATCCGAAAAAGGAAGAACGTGCGAGGCTGCTCAGTGAGTTACTTCTTCCGAGAGGCATTACAGACAAACGGGCCAAATGTGATTCTTCGGCGCTATAGTCATTCTGTCGTACGCCCTAGGATGACGGAGAGTGCATGCCCTTCTCTAGTGAGACCTATTAACGATGATTCAGTTGGTTTGAAAAGTCTATAAATGATGGAAATTTAAGAAGGGCAGAAGTGGGAATTAGACAACAACGTGTACTCCTTTTTGAAAGCTCTCCTGTTTTCCTTTTCACCAGCTACGAATAATGGCAGCCCTCAGCTCTCAGCATGCAGAGCGCTGGTGAAACTCCCCTATACATGCACTGGAAGTCAGGTCTTTAATAGGGAGGGTTCTCAGCCGCGGTGAATGATGGGATAGCTCACCCTCCATTACAACTACCGCTTCTAATTGGAAACATAATAAAGAAATGACAGAGACCTGCCTAGCGTAGTGGAGTGTTCCAGAGACCCCGAAAAAGCCCTTTGTATCGGGTCTGGAGCCCGGAACGGCCAGTGGACGCCGGGAAACCCGCGGACCCGGAGGGTGTAGTGTGTGACACCGAGCCGGCTGGCAGCCGGTGGGTATAGAATGTGACACCCGATCAGCTGACCAATGGGCGGCCCGGATGGCGGTGTGTGGCGGCTGACGGAGGGCCAATGGGAGAGGCTGATGGGGCATAGGAAGGGGCCGGCTCCTAGATGTTATTGAACGAGGGGAATGAAGCTAGGTGCCTGGAGCCGGGCTTTCCGCCGGGCCTGAGGTTTCAGGGTGCATCCCGCACAACGGAGGACACACTGCCGGCAGCACAGGTAGATTCCGGGGAAGGGGGTGAAACAGGCCGAGGGAAGGTGTGGGGTAGGAGGCGTCAGAAAGAAGGCTGGGGCCTAGAGCTGGAGGTGAGTGAGACAAGGACGGAGAGGGAGAGCATCAGGATCCTCCTGTGTGTGGGACTGTAACACACCGTATGTTCGTTCGTTTGTCTGTTTGTCAGTCAGTCACACACACACAGCGTGTCTGTGTGCAGGGGTCTGTAATCCGGTGCTGCTGTCTGGTGTGTCTCTGTCCTGAGATCCTGGTCTTCACACACTCTCTTCTATAGTGAGTGGAAGGCTGAGCTGGCACTTTGAAGGTGATGACTGACTTAGCCGTCCATGCTTCTATCAGGGAGAGGACGCTCCGGAGATGAGGAAATTGGCATTTCTCAATGTCTTGCAGTTGGTCTTAATCGAGTGTGAATGATGTGCTTTTTGCAACTGGTTAGAAGCGGATTTTAAGTTTCCGGATATTTAGTGAAAGACTCATTTCTTTTATGCTTCTGAGATAGAGTCCACACTGACCTGGTGCTCACACAGGTGTCATTGGCACACTGAAGCTCAATGATTTTGGAGTGGTTTTTGTTTTAAATGTGGCACACATTGACTAGTTTCCCGTCTGTTCTGGGGATCATCCAGGAATTTGCTGTGGGTCTGAAATTCAGTATGCTTGTGTGACCTTGGCTATGTAATTCTCTTAGTGGTTGTATTTTACTTTGGTCCGTAATCCAGTGGGGTATATGAGAGTTTGGTTTGCAGCCTAGATAAGTGTAGCTCTGTAATCCAGTCGTGTGTGTGTGTATATGTGTCTGTGTCTGTAATCACTTTGTGCACCATGCTTCTGGAACCCTGTGTCCATGTGGTAGGTCTGGAGTCCTCTGTGTGTGTGTGTGTGTGTGTGTGTGTGTGTGTACACGTGTACGTGCGCACTTAGTCATACAGCATGGAAACGGATCCTTCAGTCCAACTAGTCTATGCCAACCATGTTCCCAAACTAAACTAGTCCCACTTGTCTGTATTTGGCCCATATCCCTCCAAACCTTTCCTATTCACGTACATATCCAAATGTCTTTTAAATGTTGTAACTGTACCTGCTTCCACTACTTTCTCTGGCAGTTCATTCCAACACAAACCACTCTGTGTAAAATAAAAATTGCCCCTCGTCCTTTTTAAAATTTTTGGGAAGTCTGGTACAGACGGAAATTATACAGTGAATGGCAGAACACTTAGGAGTGTTGATATGCAGTGGGACCTGGGTGTGCAGATCCACAGATCGCTGAAGGTGGCAGCACAGATAGATAAGCTAGTAAAAAAAGGCTTATGGCATGCTTGCCTTCATTGGAAATGGCATTGTGTCTTAGAATAGATAGGTTATGCTGCAGCTTTATAGAACTTAAGTGAGGCCACACTTGGAATATCGCATACAGTTCTGGTCATCACACTATCAGAAGGATGTAGATGCTTTAGAGGGGGTACTGTTGCCTGGTATGGGAATTCTAGCTATGAAGAAAGGTTGGATATACTGGGTTTGCTTTCACTGGAACTGGTAGCTGGGTGTGCTTCGGAAATTATGTAGGCATTTTGAGAATTGCCAGAGATTTGCCTCCAGTTTCCTCTCCCTTACCCATCTCATCAACTCTCAGTCCTGGTCTGAATGCAGGTCCTTGGAATTCACTGACCCCTTTGCAACTCACTGACCCCTTTGCAACATTGACACCAAACATCGCCTAATACACCTAATAACATCACATTTCCAATTTCTGAGAGAACTCTGAGTGATAGAATAAAGTCAGAGTGATACAGCATTGAAACAGGGCCTTTGCCCAACCAAGTTTTCTAATGTCCAGAGTTAATTCTAAATGGTGCAGTTTAGATGGCAGTTTTATAATGGGATGAAATGAACTCTCCTCCTGCTGCTACGATACAGTGGGGAGAGAACTTTGCTTGCACCCAGCCTGCCAGGTATTTACTCTTGTGCTTTGTGTGACATGTTGGTCATTTTCCCAGTGCATCAGACCTGGGTTTGGATCTCAAGGTGCCCTCTCTATTACACCTGCCTCATTCAGTGGCTGGGATTTTTGTTCTGCTGTAAAACTCAGGCACTAGTTCAGAAAATTGACTGGCAGATTAGCAGCTACAGGTGACACTCTGATCTGAAACCACAGTGTCTTGTCACACAATCAGGGAACAGTTACAGCACATAAGGAGTCCATTCAACTCACCATTTCTATGTTCACTCTCTAAAGGAGCACCTTGTGCCATTTCCACTGCCTTCAACTCATAACCCTGCACATTCTTCCTCTTTGGATAATAATTCAATTCCCTCTTGAATGTCTTGATTGATTTTGCTTCCATTCACAATTGGGCAGTACATTCCAGATCCAAACCACCCAACTGTGTGAAAAGGATTTTTCCCTTGTTGCTATTGCTTCTTTTGCCAATCACCTTAAATTATCTAATCCCCTGGTTCCTGATCCTTCCACTAATGAGAACAGTTTCTCCTTATCTGCTCTGCTCTATCCTTTCAACCTCCTCTCGCTGGAATCTAGTTCTAACTTCTCTGGTCTATCTACGTAACTGAAGTTCCTCATCTCTGGAGTCATTCTAATAAATCTTTTCTGCAACCTCTCCAATGCCCTCACATTCTTCCTAAATTACAGTATTTAAGATTTAGAGGCAGTGTTCCATTTAAGATCACACCAGTGTTCTATACAATTTTATCATAGCCTTATTGCTTTATTACTCTTTGCCCTTAATGATAACACCCAAGATATGATATGCTTTATTAACAATGCTCTCAAACTATCCTGTCAGTTTCAATGATTTATGCACATGTATTGTGTTGAAATGTTCAGTGATATGCTGTGGTGCAGGATGAATCAGAATTTGAACTGTGAGTGAATTGAGTCTGTGTCACATACCACTGTATGATCATTTGTGTTATGTTCAATCTGTGTGGAAAGTAACACATTTTCAGGGGATTCTGTGGTCCACAGAGGCTGGGATGTATCATCACTCTGGCAATTACGTTTTAATTTTGATAAGATTTTAATCTTCGTTTCTGTTGATGTTTTGACTTCTTTGTTACAGTGCCCCACCATGGGCTGTCTAACCTATTTAATGTGTATTAAAAGAGAAGAGGTTGGAAAAAAGGGAGAATCTCCAGACCGAGTGTTCAATTTAATAATTTTGTTTTTGGAAACACTAACTCACACCTGTTACAACTCTGGCAGGAAAAGAGCACTGAAAGTCAAACTCTACTACCCCATGAGCTGTACCAAAAGTGTACATGTCTTCTTCACCAAATATGGTCAATTTATTTATCAGCTTTCACCAGGCTTTTCAAAAAAATACTGAAAAGTAAAATGTTTCTGACAGGCAAAATTATTCTTCAAATGAGTGGCAAACTGGTAATTAACTCGGCTACTACGTGAATTAAACTGTATTCCCTTTAATCCCAAACACGTGCATATGGACAGCTTAAAGAGCTACACAACTCCGCAGGGCAGGACAAAGTTAGGCAAAAAGGGAAATAAAACACCACACCCCTGTAGTTCAAGAGTCAAAGTCAGACAACAAAAATGGGTTGACTCCTCGTTGTTTCTTTCAATTCTTGATGAGTTCCAATTAATAATAGTTGCAGAATAGTGGAAAATCTTCAGAGTAGATTTCAGGTTCAGCTGAGAAGCAACTAGATGCCCTGATATTTTCAAGTTGCAGTTTGTTTTTCCAAGTACTTCACTGAGAGTTATAGGGAATGCTGCTTTCAGCTCCAAACTTTGACAACTACTGACTGATAGAGAGAGTACTGCGTCACATCTTCTAGGTGTGTACTGAAACAAAAAACGCTGCTTCAGCAGAGAGGCTGTTACTAGGCAGTGACAGCGTAGATCCTTTAGCATTTCCATGTCTGTTGCTCAGAAATTAAAGCAATAAAATGCCAACTTTATCTCTCTCAAAAAATTTCCTAGACAGTACTTTTCAAAGTCACTTCTTTATTGTAACCAGCAGATAATCCATAGTCTCCTTCAACCTTTTGACTTTCCAGTTCCAAGGAAATCTTTTGTAACCCAGTAATGTCCAAACATATCCAAACTTCACTTCGCATAATCCACAAATATTCCTCCTATCCCCTCTCCTTCAACCCATCCATTTGATGTTTCCCTGTGTCTTCTGCCCAAGTTTAGGCTTTTCATGAGGTTTTTTAAATTAATTCATGGGATGAGGGCATTGCTGACTAGGCCATCATTTATTGCTCAACCCTAATTGCCCAGATGGCAGTTAAGAGTCAACCACATTGCAGTGGGTCTGGAATCACATGTCAGCCAGATCAGGTAAGGGTGGTGACTTTTCTTCGTGAAAGGACACTTGTGAACCAGATGGGTTTTTATATGACGATCAATAATGGTTACATGCCATCTTCTCCCCTCCACCCTCATAGCTAAAATCCCTCATTCCCAGAACCATTCTGATTAGGCCTGCAGCTCAGGCTGGACCTATTCCTGGAGGTGTTGGTAAAAGTGACCTCACAGAGGGCTGGGGGGCTGTGGCTTGTAAGCAGGGGCCACAGTTTCAAAACTTAAGTGATGGAGAAAAAAAATTATCATTCGACCACAAGTAAAAGCAGGAATTGCCAGACAAACCGAGCAAGTTTGGCAGCATTTGTGGAACAGTTTTGAAGAACAGTCATGTCGGACTTGAAAAGTTAACTCTGTTTCTCCACAGACACTGCCAGAGTTATGGAGTTCCCGTTTTGAATTCCAGTCTCGCATCTACAATATTTTGCTTTTGGGGGAAGCTAGGGCTGTGCTCCACGGAGCTAAGGGATTTAAGGGAGAATTGATAGAGTGCCCAACATTATTACAAGTTTCAGCATGATAAAGCTCTTCAAAATCACTGATGGTACAAGAACTTGGGGCCAAAAATCTCATATTTTTGGAGTGATGGGATGAGGAACTTATATTTTTATTCTACTGATAATGGAACATTCTGGTGGT